AAGCCAAAATGCGCTTTCCTTATGTGTGTATGCACACACGCACCTTCAGCTTGCTCCTCTTCTTTAACTCATGATGATACGTGAAAACTGAACCATCAAGCTGAGTTCATATCAGTCAGGCTCTTGCAGGCAGCATCGTCTTGCCCAGAGCTTGAAGAAAGCATTTGTCTTGGGGAAGCAGAAAAAACAGCAAACCTTTTCCTGAACGCACACAGGAACAGTAATAGAGTAACTGTTTTCTGCTATCAGTGAGCTGATGTGCAGAATTGCTCTTAGAAGCACAGAAATTGTGACTTATGTTAGTGATCCAGTTAGGTGTTAAAAAGAGGTTTTTATTGTTGTTGTTTTCTTTTCTTTCCTTTTTTTTCCCCCTAATACTTGGTCTTTGCCTGTAGCAGTTTTAGCTCTTCAGAGGCTGTTCTTTGTTGGTCTCCAGATCAGGGGAAAGGAGTTTGTCTCCTCCTTGTCTTGCTGTGCTCTTCCAACTTGGCTCTGAACCACCACAGCATCCCTTGACTCCTTTTAGTGGGTCTGTTGGAGCAAGGCTGTCTGGGTTTAGGCTCTTAAACAGTTGATCTTGTGAGATTGAGGCTGCAAAGTAGATAGCAGCCACAAAACCAACTTGCTGATGCGTAAGAGGAACAAAGTGCAGTACTGCTGTTTTTTAACTCAGTCTAGCCATTCTTAGAGGCCATCGTGTAGTACTAAATGGGATAAAATGACTAGAGAAGAATGACCACAGGACATGTGTTTTGTCCAAGTTTTGTATTTCCATCATGGTAGAGAGAATTTTCAGCATAACTAATATGTCCAGGCTGACTTTGTGCAAGTAGCAAGAGACTGACTGCAAAAGTAAATTCAGAGGTGCTCCCGTACAGACTTTCAGAGGTCGGGCTTGTGAAAACTGTGCAGTATTGGAAGGTGCCACTAGTGAAGTCTTAACCTTGTTATTTTTTGAAAGTGATCAGGATCCAAATGGAAACGAACCCATTAAATGATGCCTGTAGCTCTGGGATACCTGAAGACTCTAATAGCTTTCATATATTTACTCTGATAAATTTGACATAAAATTCCCCCTGCTTGGAACCACTCACCTGCTCGATTATGTGCTCTTCATGCGAGATACTGATACATAGCATGGTGGGTATCGATGATAATCTACAAAAAGATCACCTTTCCCTGAATGGATTTAGGTAACTTCCCTACTTAAAAATCAGTTACCTTCCAAATTTCCATTGTTTACATGCCTTGGAATTCCTTTAGAAATCTCTCATCCATGTGTAAATATTTCTTACCTTTCACAACCAAAAGATAGCAACTGTGCAGTATTTATTGTGCCTTGTTTCTCCACTTAGTGATTCCCATTTCGTTCAACTTTATATTAGATTAGATCTGCAGAATTTTTTTTAAATGCTGTCATTTCTCATCGGTTCATTTTATTCAACGATATTAGATTAGATCTGCAGAATTTTTTTTTAAATGCTGTCATTTCTCATCAGTTCATTGTATTCAACATGTGTCCCAGACTTAAACTAGTCTAAGGGAGTTGTTGGGCGATTACTGCACTGAAGGTTTTTAGACTGTCCTTAAGTTCTGGATCTTCAGTAGATACTCAGAAGTTTGAACAAGACTTCTTAAATTTCATGTCTGCCAAACTGTAGGTCTTTGGTCAAGTTGTTGATACTTGCCATAGTGTTAGACAGTAAAGTGAGCAAATATGAACAACCACTGTAGGAGGAGTCGGTCATCTCTTTGTTTTCTGAAGGCATTTAAGAGGCTTGAAAGTAGTCCGACTTAATGAAAAGCTGTGTTGATGTCTTCAGCTTGTTAATGATGGAGCGGTGGGTGTAGGTACATAGTAATTCATCAGTAAGCAAAATTCATATCCTCTGGGCAGTGAGGTGTGGCTGTAATGTGTTAGTGAACTTGTTTTCTTTTGCTTGGTGTAGCTCTGGGGTTTCTGATGTCTTGGCTATGGCCTGAGGATGTGGAGACTAGACTTGCTAGAGCGGCTGTGGTGAAACGGGTGTGGGCGATCAGGCCAGGTAAGTACACAGTGGCGGCCTGATAGGACTGGCTTTATTCAGCCTGTTATAAATGGGGCAGACTTGTGCTGTAGCTCTAGGATTAAAGGATGCAAATTAAAGAATAAACTTACTTCTGCTGAAAGCAAATTTACTGATGATTCTGGAAGTTCATAAAACATGCTGTTCAATGCATCTGACGTTTTAGAGATATTTGTCTAATGTAAGGTACGTAACAGGAGAGGGTTTGGCCATCAAATTATCTCTCAGAATATTAGTTTGTGTTTCCTGAGAATTCTGTGCTTACACTTGGTGCTGGATCCCAACAGCTACAGGAGACTTGAAAATGGGATTCTGAAAACTTCAGAAACATGGCAAATAGCCTTGCAACCCTGTTAACTGGTCGAATAAGAGGGCAGCCTTCTTGAGGGCGTTTAGCACGTGTCTAAAGCACCTGAATTTGACTGTGCCACTGGGTTTCTTAAGTGCCTGCTTGGCAATACTGGTCATGTAGGGGATTTTTTTTTTCTTGCCTTTGTGTTCTTGGAGGGTGAGAGGACAAGTGGGCAGAAGAAGATGGGAGGGATAATGGAATAATAAATACAGCACCAGGTAAGAGGAAGGATCAAGAGGTGCTCAGGGACGTAGCCCATCTCTTTCTCTTCCCTCTCAGTTCACTTAACTTTCAAAAGATAAGAGTGCAGGATGTAATTCAGTCAAGGTTGGAACAAAAGCAGTTCCCTCCTTTCACCTCAACAAACATTTGCTTGTTGTCTCAAACCAAGGCAAGAAATACTTTTAATTACATATCTAGCAATTTCTTCCCCTAAAGGGAGTAAAGCAGCCTTCTGACCGCATGTGTTTACTGCCTGATGAGTCATTGTATGCTGCCTGGACATATGCTTACCTTGTATCTGTAGCTCTATGAACTTCTCCAGCCTGCACGCTGATCTGAATTTGTCCCCACAACCTGTTAGGTACCGCAGAATTGCCCCCACTTCCCTGGCAGCAAACTGAGCCTCACCACGTTAATGCCATGTCGGTGTGGTTGAGGCTCACCACGTTAATGCCATGTCGATGTGGTTGAGGCTCACCACGTTAACACTGTGTCTGCGGAGGTTTGAGGAGAACACAGCCTAGATTCCCTGGATTCCTGTCCAGTGCTGTTGCCAAACAGAGCTCCTTCTCTTGGCATAAGTTTTCTGCTTTGAAATGTCACGCTTCTTGTTTTAAATTCTTTCTACTTTTGCTGTTCTTTCTGAAGACCGCAGGAGAAGAGGTGTTAATGCACTACACCAAGTGCATTGGCTTAGAGGGGTTGGAGCTGTTACACTATAGTCCAGCTCACAGAGGGGCCTGGGGCCTCGCCAGCTGGCCGCTGAGAAGATACATGTTCCTTCATGTACTTTTTTTTTTCTAAAATAGCTTTAGCCTCTTATTTTTGTGATCCAAGTGTACTTACGGAGAAATAGTGCTGCCTTTTTTTTTTTTTTTCCTGAATGGCTATAAAAAGTGCCCTGTAGCAGTTAGTGCCACACAAAGAATTTGTTTTTCTGCTTCCAGAGGGCTTTGGCTTCTCTGGAAATTGGAGGGTTTTCGCAGTGAATTTGGCACAGCCTGTTCCCAGATCTGGCTTGGTGACCTTGCTGCTTGCTCCTCACCTCGGGCATCTCTCACCTGATTGGAAATGGAGTAAAGGAAGGGGGCTTAGAGAGTGGTTACTAAGCAGCAAGGAGGCAGCATTATGTCTGTGTCAGGTTGAATGAATAGCTTCAGTGTTTGAAGGCACTGAGGAATTTTGGACGCACAATCCAGTGAGTCACAAAAGGTCTTTGGGAGGGAGGCAGGGGGGAGAGGGCAATGTTGGGATACAGAAACTGTATTTGTGCTGAACTTGGTACCACTTGTGACTCTCCTGGAGTCTCTCAGAAGCACCAAAGTATTTGAACATTGGTCTCAATACGGTGAAAGCATATTTAAGAGTGTCTTATCCTACATAACACCTCCTGCTCAGCAGGCTGGCGCAAACATCTGCTGTGCTCCCGCAACTGAAGCAGCCTTAATTTATATAACTAAGGAGGGATTAGCTGTGTTGAGAAGATCTCCAAACAGAGCATTACAAGCCAGTGGAGACTGCCCTTGAGTTTCTGGTAGAGCAGATCAGCTATATCACTCCTGGAAAGTAGCAGCCAAGAGAGAATTGACAGTGGGAGTGTTCTTCCAAAATGGGAATACAGGATCTGCATCACCACCATGCTCCCTGGCAATTTGATTTGTAGAGGGTTTATCAGCCAAAGCCCTGAATGGCACAATTACAGAAGTGAATTCTGGCACCATGCACAACTGGCAAACCTCTGCAGCCCAGGACCCTGCAGCAGAGACCTCGGTGTCTGCAGAGAGGCCGATCAGGTGCTGCTCTGAAACCCTCGTGCTCTGCCGCTGGGAGCATTTCAGCTGTTTTCATGTTACTCTGGGGAATGCATCCTGCTGGCCCTGCTCAGAGGAGTGCAAGTTGCCCAGGCCTGTGGTAGGCATTCCCAGGGCTTAAGTAGTTTTCTCTGGGCTGGATCCAGCTTTTATTTAGTTATGCTCTAAAGTATTGACTCTTGGCTAGTGCCAAGGGCCACTCACCAAAAATGAAGAATCTTTGGTTTGGTCTTTTTTGAGGAAGGGCTTCAAGTACAGCAGTTTTTGCAGAATTCAAAAGGAACTGAGTGTCCAGGAATTGTTGAAACAAAGCCTTAATTCTGTCATTAAATTTAGACTCTAGCTTTAAAAGGAAACAGAGCATCCTGTTAGGCTTTGACTTTCCATGGTACAAACATTGCCCTATTATCTAATAACTTGCATTTCATTCTTAATTTTTATTCTTCTGTGTCAGAAATAATGTGTAAATTTCTAAACAAATGGACAGTATAGCTTTTCAGGTTGGAAGCATACCTTGACTAAAATCTGTTTCTTCCCCCTTCCTCCCAGGAATTCTCAGAAGTGGAGAAGAGAGATCCTCAGGAGCTAGTTGGTAAGTTCGCTCAGAAGTATTTATTCACATGTTTTTTTCAAACTAGACCTTCTAGGCTCCCCCTTTATAAAAAGCATCTTCACTCTGTCCTGACAATACTGTTGTTTGAATTATTGCCTGCAATGTTTTATCTCAGTGGAATATTTTCAGTGAAGTCTTCTTTTGGAAGAAAGGTACCATACCTAAAAATATGAAAATATTTTCATATATTACATGTCTAAGATGTATATGTGAAGGGCAGTGTTGGTGTTTGTCACCAGGGCAGTGTTTTTTCTAGATGAGTTTAAAACCAATAAAGCAGTAGCTTTGTCCAGGCACCTCTGTGAGAGCCAGTATTAACTAGGAATGATGACAGATACTTTGTTCTGTGGCTTCAAAAACTTACCTAAAATATCCCCACTTAAATGTGATTCCTGTAGCTATTTATAGGTGCTGTGTTGACATAGCGTACCATATGTTTTCTAATGGTTACTAAAACTTATTTGATTTTTGTGATATGTCACTATTCATTGCACCATTATTAGATTTGGAAGGTCCAAGATCATCGGCTTGAAATAATACCCTGTTTGGTGTGTGTGGAGCTGTACAGAAAGTGTATTTTATGTTGAAGCTCTGACTGTCTTGAACTAACCCTTTGTTCCTGAGGTTACTAGTACGGTTGTGTGGTACCATGCAGTAATATCATTAAAAAATCAGGAGTTTAGAAGTTGCTTCATTATCTGTCAAGTCAGCTTGTTCAAGGCTCAAGCATGATATTTCAGCCATAAAGTGTGATAAATGTAAAATAAGACAGTAAATACTAGGATGCTAAGCTGTGACTCCTACTCACTGAAGTTTTGGACTGAAGTCCTTTTCAATTGGCCTGCCCAGACTTTGCACCAACCCAACTGTTATATTGAATTTTCATCCTTTAGAGGGCAAAACTGCTTTAACCAGTCTCATCATAGAATGCAACAGAGATCTTTCTCCAAACTGCTGATCTGCCTCAGAATGTATGCTAGAAACATGGATGAGACAACAGTATTTATAGGGTGAAAAGTAAAGAACATCTGAAAGCCAACTGCGCTATCCCACTACATTGCTTTACAAGTGTAGAGTAAGTCCTTTCTTAGTTAAGCTATAAGACTTGGGTTACAATTTTGTTAGTCTCCTTTTCCCCCAGTGACTGCCTCATCCCCAGGAGATTAGAAGACTGAATCTCATTTGTCTCATGATAGCCCAGACTTGCATGCAGGCTTAAAAGCTGCACAGAGGGCACTTAGTACAGTGTCACACACTTGTGAGTGGACAGTGTTGGTAAGTCCGAGACTTGGATTAAGGTTTGCAATATATCTTTAATATCCTTCCCTAATAGTAGCACACTTAGAGCAGCAGGTAGGCTTAGCTTTGTGCAGAACCGGGTTATTAGAGGTCTGCATACTTGCCATGCTGGATTCTGTAGGTCTTTTGCATTCGACTGCATGTTATCTAGTTGAAAACGAACTGTTGCCCAGAGCCTCATGGTTGGTGTCACGTGAGAACCACTCCCTGGTGACTTGGACTTTTAGAGTGAGAATTCTTGAATGGAAAAAGGTGCAGGATTTTCTAACACAAACTAAATAACTTTTCCAATCTGGACATCTAAAGTTTTATCTAATATCAGTATGTGGAAGTTGAAGCCTTCCTTAAGACAGTTTCCCACAACTCTTTTTGCATTAAAAGCTTGTGGACCTGCCCTTCTAAGAAGATAACCTTACGTTGTTCAGCGTCACCTTTTTTCAAGTCCATGGTTATGCAGTGACTTAAGTACAACATAAATGTAGGTTCCTGCCAAAAATAATATTTCTGTTTTGCCTCCCCTGGATGCATGCTAACGTTTGTGTGCCTCGAGCTGGTCTGGGAGTTGGAGCCAGCTGAGATCCACCTTTACTGTTCTATTTTTTTTTTTCCTTCCCTTTTTTTCCCTTCCTCCTTTCATTTTTTTTTTTCCCCTGTGAGGCTTCCAGCTGCATCCATTCCCTGATCTGCTTAGTGCATGCTAGGTAAGCAGTAGAGTTGGCACAAAGAAAACAGTAGGGATGAACAGCTGGGAAGGGCATGGTTGTCATGACTTATACTGGAGTAGTGATCACGTAATCAAAGCCTGAAAGAACAGGAGAGGAGGTTTCAGCAGTTTCAACTGCCCTGTGGTGGAGAAGGAAGTATATGTGAAACTTATTTCGGTAGATTTCTGCATCACCGTTGTCCTTATGGGTTTTTTGTACCACTCTGAAGAGTACATGGTGCTGGCAGGACATTGCAATTGCTGATTCCTGCGGCCTTGCAAAATAATACTTTTAAGACGCGTTTTTTTGCCCTGAAGTTCCTTGCAGCATGGTTGTTTACCTTTCGGACTGTAAAAAATGTTCTCTCCAGCCCTTAGGATATCTGAGCACAAAGTCAGTGTTCAAAAGAGCAGAAAGTATGGCTGAGTTGCAGGTCTCTCTCTGCATTTCTCAGCCCACAGAGCAGAAAGGGAACTAGTGTCCTTCCATGGATGGGTGACTCACTGGCGTGTTGTTGCCTCCAGTTCTTCCCTCTGATTTGGCTGTTCTGGTGCCAGGAAATCAGAAACCCACACACTCTGGTTTATGCCAAGCAGACTTGATTAGAGTGCCAAAGAATGCAGTTTTAGAGACCAGGCACCACCGGTTTGCATGTCACCAGGGGAAAGCCATGCCCCTCTGATCACCCTTTCCAGGTCTTTTTTGCATAGTGTGACCTTTATAGACAAACTGGCACCTGGTACTGCCTGTAATCCCTTGTGGCCGCTTAAGATGCTGAATACGAGTGAACCTTGAAAGGGACAGGAGTTCTTAGTCCTACGTCGGGAGCAGTGTTATTCCCTGAGAGCGCTGAGGCAAGATACTTTACCAGACTTCAGATGATCCACAGCCCAGTCTGTCTGGGTACAGCCAGCTTGCTGTTCCTGTGCTCTCTATTGGTTTTCTCTGCACAAGGAAAAAGTGCCTACCCATAACTAATCTATGCTCACTAGCCCCAAACAATCAGTTCCAAGTGTTCTCAACTTTCAGGACTTTACATACCCTTATTCCCTTTACCAGTCCCTCATTATCAATCAAAGTCATCTTCTATGGTTACAATTCTATGATTACACACAGTTCCTGTAGAGACTTAAACACAGCACACCTTTCCTTATTTCATTTAGAATCAAATTGAATTTTTATATCAAATCTCATTTGATTTCAGATATTTGTAACATCTGTAGGAAACAAAGCTCCTGTGTGCCCCCCGTCTGTGTCTCCAGCCCAGCCTTTGGGCTGTGAGCAATCCTTTCCTTCTGGGAGGAACTGAGCACACAGTTTACACTGCGGCACTTTCTCTCCAGCTATGCTTGTGCTGTTGGATGTACTGGTCGAATAACCCACCTATCTCAAACGGAAGCAGATTAAATGTAGGATTTCCATTTAATTATCTGCCTCACCAAGATCTGGCAAGCAAATATCCTCCATTGACTACTGAGATGCTGAATCTTTGCTAGGTACACCCTAATAGATGGTTGTGCTTTGGTCTGCTATGAGCAGCTGAATATCTCTGCCTTGCCACGCTGCATGCGCTGTCTGCACAAAAAGCTACAATCACCTATTGCTTGTGCTGATGAAGTTTTTAAATTTTAGGTCAACCTGTGGAAGGAGAAAGCACAGACTAAGCAGCAGCAACAGTGTCCTTCAGCTGCAGGATGCTTTGAGTTGCAGACCTGGCAGTGCATAGGGTCCTACTTTCTTGAACCCCCGTCTGAGTTGTGGGATCTGCTTTATGGCCTTAGTTCTTTATCTGGATTGTGAATCTGGTTAGGGGAAGATATTTACTTACTGTGAGCCAGAATCTAGGTGTGCCCATAGTGATTAATTGCGCCAACAGCCAACTTCCTGAGGTCCCTACGTGGAGATCCTCTAGGCTGTGAGCCAGCAAATCACAGTACCAATTAGAGACTGCAGCCAGCGCCACTACCTGTGACTCATGTAAAAGTAAAACTTTGATCTTGGCAGAAATAACAGGATGCACAAAGCAGTTGGATGTATCCTGTGAGGACACACCTTGTTGTTAGCTGTCCATCTGCATTTACCACTGTATAGACAGTGGAAAGCTGTGCTTGGGACTTTGAAAACACAAAATCTTTTATACAGGAGCCTGTGGCCATAATGCAAGTTCCAGGATTATTTTGAATTATGATCCCAGCTGCCTCTTCCTCTA